TTAGAGCAGGGGGGCTGGGAGCCAGGACTCCTGGGTTCTCTCCCTGTGTAACGGTGACAGACCCCGTGAGCTAAAGGCATGAGCCTCTACTGGATGAGCTAAAAGCTACACAGCCCTTAGCTAAGTGATCTCAGTGCCACTAGATGGGACAGCACCACGCCCAGCAGGGCTCTCCTGGCTCTGGGAGGGGAGTGAGGTCTAGTGGTTAGAGCACGGGGGGCTGGGAGCCAGGACTCCTGGGTTCTCTCCCTGTGTAACGGTGACAGACCCCGTGAGCTAAAGGCATGAGCCTCTACTGGGTGAGCTAAAAGCTACACAGCCCTTAGCTAAGTGATCTCAGTGCCACTAGATGGGACAGCACCACGCCCAGCAGGACTCTCCCTGGCTCTGGGAAGGGAGTGAGGTCTAGTGGTTAGAGCTGGGGGGCTGGGAGCCAGGACTCCTGGGTTCTGTCCCCAGCTCTGGGATGGGGTTAGAGCAGCGAGTCAAGACTCGAGTTCTTGTCCCAGCTCTGCCAGGATCTCTCCAGTCCTCCCTCCGTGCCGCAGGTTCCCCAACTGAAAGATGTCGCTGGAAGCCCGGCCCCCCCGAGCCCAGGGGTGGGGAGCACCGGCCCAGGCTGGGTCTGTGTGCTCTGCCCTCCCCTCCCCCTTGGGGCACCGCTCCCGGCCTCCCCTGCACTAATCCCTGCGGATTAGCTGCCAGGCAGCCGGCCCTGTCTCTGGCATCACCCAGCGACCAGCCCCAGCCTATCACGTGCTCTGCAAATCCCTTGGAGATTGGGGTCACGGGGCTCTGCGGGGCGGCTGCAGGGCAGGCCGGGGGCGGGGCAGGGAGCAGCTGTGCTGTGGGGTGGGGCACATTTGGCAGAGGTCTGTGGGGCCCCTGTGGGTCCTTGAGGTGCCCGCGCCACCCCCAGCTCATGGCCAAGCTGCTCCTCCACCAGAGATCCAGGCTGGGGCCGTGTCTCCTCAGTGCCGGGCGGGGAGGGGGGTGCTTTTCCTGGGGTGCTAGTGGGTGCCTGTAGCGCAGCGCCCTGACCTGCCTACTGCGGCTCGGTGCCGGGGCATCCCCTGTGCCCAGAGCTGGTGCTGAGCAGTGGGCTCATCTCCCAGCCCCTCCACTCCTGGCAGGTCGTATTTCTGTGCAAGGCCTCAGGGCCCTGCCCCTGCCCCAGGAGTAGCCGTCACACCCCATCCGGGGGTCCTGGCAGGCAGACGTGCTTAGCTGGGCTGTCTGTAACCACTAGACGACACTGCCCCCAGAGCCAGGCCGGCGCAGGAATCCTCTCCCCGACAGTCCTCCGCTGGCGCACAAACAGCCAGGGACCCTCTGGCACCCTCCATGCGCAGGCCACTGCCCCGTTCTGCCCCCCATCGCTCCTCCGCCCCAGGGGGGCCCAGCTGCTCCAGGCCGTGCACTGCAGGTCCCCGAGCCCTGCCAGCGCTGCCCCCCCTCCCGGCGGGCTGGGGCCCCTCCCAGCAAGACCTGAGTTTGGTGGGCTCAGCTCCAGCTCTTGCATGACAGACGCCCCACGAAGAGGGCAGCCCCCGCCCAGGGCTGGCCGAGCTGGCAGCCTGTGGTGGGGACACACAGCTCCGTTCTCCAGGCCCTGGGCACTACCGCCCCCCATTGGTAAATGGCGGGACTAGACGTGACAGGCTGCAGCCCCGGGGTCCTGCCAGGATTCCCTAGCACTGTGGCCTGCTCCCCCAGGGCCGGGGGCTCTGGCCTGCTCACTGAGCATGTACACGGCCATTCCACAGCCCCTCCACCGGACGGGCACAGGCAGCCTGGGTTTGACCTGCAGACACCCCCAGACCCACGGTGGACATTGTTCAGCAGAAGTAAACACGAATTAGGGGGCCCGTTAGCACCTCTCCCCTCGAGGGCGTTCGTGGGTTCAACTTGTGTCTTTATTAAACCCAAGAGTGGGGAATCGAAGCTCCCAGGCTCTGCTCTTGCGGGTGCTGGGCGGGCTCCTCGGAGGGGGACGGAGAGGGCAGATGCGGGGTGATCACCTGGGGAAGGGTTGGCCCCGGGCCGTGGCGGGTTCTTATCTTTCACCATTTTCCTGTGAGTGCCTCCGAAACCCCCGTGACTGCCCTGGGTGAGGTGCCCACATGTTGTGTTGGGGGGTGGGGGGGGCATATGGCTGCAGGTTTTGCATCTGTTCTGGCAGGGTCTGAGTTGGTGAGTCCTGGCCCGTGGAGAGCCGGCTTCTGCTGATGAGCTTGGGGGGCTGTTTGCAGGCTGGAGGAGGGGGGTTGGGAAAGATCCCTTCCAGGATTGGGGGGGGAGGGGGTCCTTGTTTGGTGAAGGCAGTTTTAAGTGTAAATTACGCACTTACACAGACAGATGGGCAGAGAGAGAGACAGAGCTGGGCAGGTGTCCTTAAACCCTGACTCACAGCCCTCTGCTGTCCAAACCCTGGGCTCCCCGCTCCCCTGCCGGTGCCCCTCACTCCCGACCCGCAGCCCCTGCCAGCCCAGCCCTGGGCTCCCCCCAGCTCTGCCGATGCCCCTCACTCCCGACCCGCAGCCCCTGCCAGCCCCGCCCTGGGCTCCCCCCAGCTCTGCCGATGCCCCTCACTCCCGACCCGCAGCCCCTGCCAGCCCCG